TGGGAATGGAGCGCCGATGGAGTCGAAAGATCACCCAGCTGGATGGACATAACAGTGGAAGGCGAAACTGCAGCTGTCGACACAACAACCGGCGCATTCTCTGCAGTCCAAAATGGACAGCAAGCAGACCGATCTGCTGCAGTTTTTCCTGGACAACCTGCTGGCCGAACAGCCCCTGCAGGAACTCGTATCGCAGCGGCGCTGACCGGAGACGACCCTGGACAGCCGGCACACCGAACAGCTCCTGCAGGAGCTGCTGCTGCTGGCACTGCTGCAGGACGAACACCCGCGGCTGCTGGCACTGCTGCTGGCCGAACCAGTTTGCAGCAGGGTGCTGCTACAGACCGAGGATGCTCGCAGGGCACTGCTGCAGCTCGAACCACTCCGCAACCTCCTCCGAGCCTAGGAACTGCTGCAGTAATGACTCCTATACGCTATCGATCTCTTGCGGCTGCTGCTGGCCGAACCAGTTTGTAGCAGGGTGCTGCTGCAGACCGAGGATGCTCGCAGGGCACTGCTGCAGCTCGAACCACTCCGCAACCTCCTCCGAGCCTAGGAACTGCTGCAGTAATGACTCCTATACGCTATCGATCTCTTGCGGACATCTATGCAGAGACGGAGGTGATTGATCTCCCTGCAGAGGAATTGTTCCTGATCTCTGAAGAACCTGCGAACTATCTCGAGGCTGCATCAGAACAAGAATGGAGGACAGCGATGGAGAAGGAGATGGAGGCCATCGAGAAGAACAAGACTTGGATACTCACGGAGTTACCGTGGGGTTCCAAACCCATTGGTCTCAAATGGGTATACAAACTGAAGAAAGACAATGAAGGCAACATTCTCAAGCACAAAGCAAGACTTGTAGCAAAAGGGTACGTCCAGCAGCAAGGCGTGGACTTCGATGAGGTGTTTGCACCTGTGGCGAGGCTTGATACCATCAGAATAATCCTCGCTATATCAGCACAGAACGGGTGGGAGGTGCACCATCTGGATGTGAAGTCGGCATTCCTAAATGGTGATCTCCAGGAAGAAGTGTATGTGGTTCAACCTGAAGGGTTCGTTGTGAAGAATCAAGAGCACAAGGTCTACAAGCTTTCAAAGGCACTCTACGGTCTACGCCAAGCACCTCGGGCATGGAACACGCGCCTCGACAAGTGCATGAAGGGCATCGGATTTGCAAGATGCACTCAGGAGCAGGCGGTATACACAAGGAGTAACAGAGGGGATACACTCATTGTTGGCGTGTACGTGGACGACTTGATCGTTACGGGCTTGAGGGCGGATGAGATAAAGTTTTTCAAGCAACAAATGATGAAGGAGTTCGAGATGAGTGACCTTGGATTGCTTTCCTATTATCTTGGTATCGAGGTGGATCAGCGAGATGATTGTATTGCACTAAGGCAGGCGGCCTATGCGAAGAAGGTTTTGGGTCAGTTCGGCATGATGGATTGCAACTCGACACAATATCCTATGGAAGCAAAGCTAAAGCTTGGAAAGGATTCTGAAGGAACACCGGTGGACGTGACGGAGTATAGACGCATTATCGGATGCTTAAGGTATCTAACTCACACCCGACCCGATATCACATATGCCGTGGGGATTGTGAGTAGATACATGGAGCACCCTACAGTTTTGCATCGACAGGCTGTCAAACATATTTTGAGGTACGTGGAGGGTACTATGTCCTACGGATTGGTGTACAGACGAGGTCGAGGCAATGAAGAGTTGGTGGGATTCACTGACAGTGATCTTGCGGGAGATGTTGATGACAGGCGCAGCACAGGCGGCATGGCATTTTATCTAGGTGACAGTTTGGTCACTTGGACATCACAGAAGCAGAAGACGGTGGCATTATCATCCTGGGGTGAAGTTCATCGAGATGCGGGAGCTTCTAGGAGTAAGGGACTTGGAATCTCGTCCAGATTAAGGGGGAGAATGTGAGTTGTTAATCAGTCCGGATTGTTAGTTGAGTTAAAATTAGTTAGAGTAGAATACTAGTTAGTAGATAATTCTCTAGTTATTGGATAAGATTAGAGTTGTAATCTTAGTCCTTATATATTTATGTAAACAACCTATATGGTTTTGATAACGTGAAATAAAAAGAAATCAAAAAAGTTCCCTGCTCCAATTTGTTGTTCCTGCTCCTTTACAAATCGGCTTCATCAACCAAAGACAGAGCTTTTGTTCTCTGTTTTCTGTGCTTGCTGTTCGGTTCTCTGAAAAAAAACTGCCAGGTTCGGTTGCTACAGTATTTACAGATTTTCTCAAATCAGTTTCAGATCTGATTCAGGTCGATCCTATTCTCAAAGCCAACAATAATTACATATGCCATACTTCTTATATGTGTAATGAACAATTGTATATTGTTAGCTATATATTGATGATATATGAGAGAGTTTGTTTCGTCTTCTAATCTTTCTTAGATCCTTCTTTAGTTAATAGATTTCTTGGACATCTTCTGCCAGTTACTAAAAAACATACATCCCTCTGTCATATTAGTTTATAAATTTACATGGGAAATTCTTTCATGATCAGTGCTAAAGGACCCTGTCAAATTTAGAAGTTATGGTGATCACGGTTGAGGGTTATAGTTTTATATTCTAACAATTAAAGTTAGATATTTTCTAGGAACATTTCCAGGCGATTTTTATACGCTTTTAAAGACTAACATAAAATGATCTTTTAGTCAAGAGGTGTATGCATGTGCTGATAAAATAGAACATGCGCCATAAGAAGCTACAACCCATACGAGGAATGAAAATGCAAAATAACCCAATTTATTATATGGCGAGCTACTCTGGAAACATGTATAATTTACCTGATTTCACTTTCTGTAGGGCTTCGTATAGCGCCTTTTGTTTCTTTCTCTGCAGAAGCTGCATGCATCACAAGTAAACATACCGCGTCATAAACTTTCAATTTTTTCCAACACTAATTAACAATATCATCGAAGTAAAATAAGATATCTAATACAAGAATTTCCTGTACTTTTCCGAGGAAATTGAGGAGATGCTCGACAAGCAGAGAGATTAACACGACGCCAGCGCAAATAGCTGCGACGATCCATGTAGGAGTGAACTCGAGTTTTACTTGATCTTCTCCTCCTCCACCTGCCATATTTTCTATGTGATCCGTGTAGTAAGAATAATGGAGCCTTACTACTTATAGAAGCTTTGAGAGAATGCATGAATAATCTTTGAATTCTTTGAATTTATATATCCATAAGGGGAATACAGGACTGGTGCAGACACCAAAAGAAGGAACCGGATCGGAAAAGTCAGTAAGTCAAGCAAATTAAGGGAGGGAAGATTGTCTCATTGAACTGGGTTTGACCCGTCATATTTTGGAAGTTAATAGTGTGGTTAATATATAGACTGCTTCAAATTTAGCCTGGGAGGGTTGAGGTTGACATGAGGAGACTCGACCTTTTCTTCTTCTTCTTCTTCTTTTTGATTTATTGCAGCTATGTTTTCAGTAGTACCAAATTGAACGAATTCCTGAGTGAAAATTTTCTGACTCTTATATGCAGCAATAGAATTCTTTAAGTGGGTCTATCTACAACAATAGAACTCTATTAAGGGATTTATCTGCAATAATAAAACTACGTGAGTCGTAATTAGTTCAAGGGGCTGTTGTCAATCTTTGAATGGACGCATTAGTTATGTTTCCCTTTGCATCCTGTTTGGAAGACCATAATCCAAATTTTGTCATGGACGCTAAGTTGTTTTTGGTCTAAATCCTCATTTATCATCATCAACCATATATTTGACAGGATCAAACATATAGTTTTCATTTGGCAACATCACTACATCAACCATGAGGAAAATTTTTATGTCGAAAGTATTGATAGTTAAACTCAACTTGACCTAAAAGTTTAATTTTTACTTTTTTATTTTAGTTGTTGCTAAAGTATTTTTATTTAAGTCCATCACTTTATAGTTTTTTCAATTGAAGTCCCTCTTTATGAGTGTACAACCTAGATGCAAACAAATCACATGTCAAAAGTCTCTGCCATTACCAAAAAACTCTGAAGTTGGTTGCGTTTAAAGCTATAATTTTATAAATAACATATATAATGTACTTGCTTATGCTATTCATAATGGCATGGCTAGGATTTAAACATTGGTGGGGGATGTAGAACACACAGCAGACACGTTTATGACAAAGTGGGACAGTCGCAAACCCAAGTGCAGGCCTGGTCGAAGAAAATAACTAGTTTCGAAGAAACGGTCGTAACTTTCAAACCGTACATCGGAATTGGACGAATTATATATGAAAATCGACTATCTTAACGAGACAGAGCCATCCAAACTCACCCCTTCGACTTTGGTTTGCGTTCTCCGTTTCGCCAAATTCCTTACGGTTTGAGAGATATTTGTATTTTAATTTGTCCGTTTTTTACTATTTTTAGTAATATTTTAGGAGTCTGTTTTGTTTAGGAAACAAATCCGATTTGATCTCAGATTTGACCGGTGGACTTTCCTAGTAATAAGGAGTTTTTTTAGGAGTTTTAATTTTTTACGAATTCTTTTATTATTTTTGGTAGAGTTTGAGTCCTTGTAGGAGTCTTGTTTCTTTTTTCTATTTAAGAAGAGTCTTGTAAGCCCTAAAGGCATAATTTTTTATTAATAAAATTTTGTTTTTCTTCAATATTTACTTTGTGGATTCGAAGCTCTTCGTGGATTCGAAGATTGTCCTTGGTGGATTCCGAGGCTATAACTTCTGCGCTACGTCAATTGGTATTAGAGCCTTGTTCCTCCGATCCAATGGCAGATGATGAAGCCTCTATTCCTCGAACTAAATTCGACGTGTTAAGGTCCTACGTAGAGCAACTGAAGACCAATGGTGATCAGATGAGGGCTTCCATAGAGCGACTTACGATGGCAGTGGAGCGTCTGAACCCGACGGGAGTTCAAAATCACGTTGATGGTCGCCAACGACGTGATCTGACTCCATATAATGAATCCGACAGCGAGGAAGATCCCTATGCACCCCCACGCCACGGTGTTTATCGTAGAGACCGACGACGAAGGGATAATTATGACGCTGGAGGTTTCAAGATGAAGATGGATTTGACATCTTTCAACGGGCAACTTCATATTGAAGAGTTCTTTGACTGGATTGCAGAAGTAGAGAGATTCTTTGAGTATATGGAGATCCCAGAAGAATGGAAGATAAACTTAGTGGCTTACCAACTCAAAGGTGGAGCTTCAGCTTGGTGGGAATATGTTTGTCTGAATCGATCTCATCAAGGAAAGCCGAAGGTCGATAGGTGGAAAAAGATGAAGAAGCTATTGAGAGCCCGTTTCTTGCCAAGCGATTATGAACAAGTTTTATTCAAGTAGTACCAGAATTGTAAGCAGGGTGGAAGAACCGTGGATGAGTACACATAGGAATTCTATCGACTATCATCCCGCAACAACTTACACGAGAGCGAGGACCAACAGATGTCTTGATATACAAGGGGGTTGAAGATAGCGATTCAAGATCGTGTATCTCTACAGCAGACCTATACCTTGGCAGACATGGTTAGCCTAGCCGAAAAGGTGAAGCGACAACTCAGACGAAATAGTAAAGGTCCATGGGCAGCTTCCGACGGGTCACGCACGAGCTTTAATCGTGGTAAACAGTCTCAAACAGTTTCTGAACAAGATACTATAACGGAGAAGGGCAAGGGTCCAGTGACAACAACTACAAAGAAGACTACATCCCCGAACCCATATGCCAAGCCTGACCTAATCAAGTGCTATAGATGTGGACAGCCTGGTTATCGATCCAATCAGTGCCCTAAAAGAGGTGTTGTGAACATAGTGGATCATGAAGATGAAGTTATAGACCGTGACGAAGTTGAAGACTATGATGGTGGATTGGATCCTGATGATGATGGGGAACAACTCTCATGTGTTGTGCGGCGTCTATGAAGACTATGATGGTGGATTGGATCCTGATGATGATGGGGAACAACTCTCATGTGTTGTGCGGCGTCTATTGTTGGCCCCAAAGACAGAAGAGCCACTCATGTGTTGTGCGGCGTCTATTGTTGGCCCCAAAGACAGAAGAGCCACCGCAGAGGCATAACATCTTTCGCACGAGATGCACCGTGAAACAGAAGATCTGTGATGTTGTCATTGATAGTGGGAGCAGCGAGAATATTGTCTCTCAGCGTATGGTGAAGAAGTTAGAATTAAAGACAGAGAAGCATCCCGTCCCTTACAAGATTGGTTGGATTCGAAAGGGTAGCGACGTACAAGTTGATGAAGTGAGTTGGGTATCCTTTTCCATTAGCCGAACTTATATCGATGAGGCGTTATATGATGTAGTTGAGATGGATGCATGTCATATCTTATTAGGCAGACCATGGCAGTTTGATGTTGATGCCACACATTGGGGAAAGGATAATGTTTATATATTTAAGAATGATGGTCGACGAATTGTGCTCAAGCCTCTAACTGAGAAGGGGCCTGTCAATACCAATGTGGCTGAAAAGAAGACTTTCTTAGTCGTTGACAATGAAGATTTTATGAAAGAAGTGAAGCAGTCCAACGAGGTTTATGCTCTTGTTTTGTCAGGAAAGGAAGATTCTACCACAACCGAAATTCCACCTAGAGTTCAAACCCTCTTGCAGCAGTTTGATACAGTTATGCCTAACGATCTACCCTCTGAATTACCAATGCTTTGAGACGTGCAACATCAGATTGATTTCATCCCTGGATCTCAACTACCAACTCTGCCACACTATCGGATGAACCCGAAGGAAGAAGAGATTTTGTAGAAGCAGGTGGATGATCTCATCCAGAAGGGTCTTATACGGCCTAGCATGAGTCTGTGTGCTGTACCAGCACTACTAGTCCCAAAGAAGAACGGAGAGTGGCGCATGTGTGTGGACAGTAGGGCTATCAACAAAATTACTGTGAAGTATCAATTTCCTATCCCACGCCTAGAAGACATGCTAGACATGTTATCTGGATCAAAAGTATTCTCAAAGATAGATCTCAAGAGTGGTTATCATCAGATTCGGATTAGGGAAGGAGATGAGTGGAAGACTGTCTCAAAGATAGATCTCAAGAGTGGTTATCATCAGATTCGGATTAGGGAAGGAGATGAGTGGAAGACTATATTCAAGACAAAAGAATGCATGTATGAATGGTTAGTAATACCTTTTGGCCTTTCTAATGCTCCCAGCACTTTCATGCGTTTGATTAATCAGGTATTAAAACCCTTTATCGGCAAGTTTGTTGTAGTTTACTTCGATGATATCCTGATTTATAGCCAGAGTGAGACTGCACATGGACCAATTGAGGGAGGTACTAATAGTTTTGCAGGAGAACAAGTTGTACATTAATCTGAAGAAGTGTAACTTCATGACCAGTAGCATTGTATTCCTAGGCTTTGTTGTTAGCACATAGGGTATCCATGTTGATGAAGAGAAGGTCCGTGCTATTCGAGATTGGCCTACACCGAAGACAGTTAGTGAAGTTCGTAGTTTTTATGGCCTAGCAACGTTCTACAAAAGATTTGTCAGAAACTTTAGGAGTATTGTAGCTCCTATCACTGAGTGCATGAAGAAAGGTAAATTCAATTGCGGGGCCGATGCGGATCGTAGCTTTGCACTGATCAAAGAGAAATTGTCCACCGCACCAGTACTTGCACTTCCAGATTTTCAAATGGTCTTTGAAGTTGATTGTGATGTGTCCATCATAGGAATTGGTGGTGTTTTATCTCAGGAAGGACATCTAGTTGCTTTTTACAGTGAGAAACTCAGCGAAGCTCGGCAGAAGTCGACCACATATGAGCTGGAGTTATATGCCATAGTTTAGTCTTTAAAGCATTGGGAGCACTATTTGATCTCGAGAGAGTTTCTGCTTCATACTGATCATCAGGCTTTGAAGACCCTTAATAGTCAGACTACCATCAACCGTATGCATGCTCGTTGGATCGCATATCTGCATCATTTCACCTTTGTTTTAAAGTATAAATTCGGGCAGCAAAATAAGGTTGCAGATGCACTCAGTAGGAGAGCTGGATTGTTGGTAACTTTGAAGGCTGAAGTGATTGGGTTTGAGTACCTTAAGGAGTTGTATGCAGAGCATAAAGATTTTAAGAAGGTTTGGGATAACTGCCTTCAAAATAAATCAGTCAAAGGCTTTCATATTCAGGATGGTTATCTATTTTATGGCGATCAATTGTGCATACCCCAGAGTTCATTAAGAGAGTAGATAATTCGAGACCTTCATGCTGACAGACTAGGAGGACACTTGGTATGTGATAAAACAATTGCAGCCATTGAAGAATGATATTACTGGCCTCAGTTGAAGAAGGGAGCAGAAAAATATGTGCGGCGTTGTCCAGTTTGTCAAGTTGCTAAGGGACAGTCTCAGAATACATGATTGTATACACCTTTACCTATTCCTGATGCACCATGGTATGATATCTCTATGGACTTTGTCTTGGGACTGCCTCGAACCCAACGAGGCATAGATTCTGTTTTTGTTGTGGTTGATAGGTTTTCGAAGATAGCGCACTTTATTCGGTGCAAGAAGGCTGCAGATGCGAGCAACATTGCGAATCTTTTCTTTCGGGAGATAGTTCGCCTTCATGGAGTGCTGAAGTCCATTACATCTGCTCAAGATTCTAAGTTCTTATCTCACTTTTGGAGAACTTTGTGACAGCGATTCAATACTTCTCTTAAGTTTAGTACTGTCTATCACCCTCAAACAGATGGCTAAACTGAAGTGGTCAATCGCACCCTCGACAATCTTCTTAGATCCATCTCTGGAGATCGACCGAAACAGTGGGATCTTGCTTTGGCACATGCTGAGTTTGCTTTGGCACATGCTGAGTTTGCTTATAATTGTATGGAGAGTCGAACTACAGGCAAGACACCCTTTGTGATTGTGTATGGAAGGCTTCCGAATCATTATCTCGACCTTGCTCTATTGCCTAAGCTTCCCGGACAGAGTGTTCCTGCAGATCATATGGTTGAAAAGATACAGGCTATCCAACAGGAAGTAAAGGAGAAGATAGAACGGTCTAATGCTAAATATAAGAATGATGTTGATCGACACAGGAGGAAGAAGGTGTTTGAAGAGGGAGACATAGTGATGGTGTTTCTGCGAAAAGAACATTTTCCCGTGGGCACCTACAACAAGCTGAAAAATAAGAAGTATGGTCCATGCAAAATACTAAAGAAGATTAGCGACAATGCTTATGTGGTTGACCTTCCTACAGATTTGGGTATTTCTCCTAATTTTAATGTTGCAGATTTGTTTGAGTATTACCCACCAGAAGAAACAACTATTCATGCAAGTGTAAGCTCGGGGTCGAGCTCTTTTCAAGCATGGAGGGCTGATGTAGAACATATAGTAGACATGTTTATGTCAAAGTGGGATAGTCACAAGCCCAAGTGCGGGACTGGTCGAAAAAAATAACTAGTTTCGAAGAAACGGTCGTAACTTTCAAACCGTACGTCAGAATTGGACGAATTATATACGAAAATCGACTATCTCGACGAGACAGAGCCATCCAAACCCACTCCTTCAGGTTCGGTTTGTGTTCTTCATTTCTCCAAATTCCTTACGGTTTGAGATATTTGCATTTTTGTCCATTTTTTACTATTTTTAGTAATATTTTAGGAGTCTGTTTTGTTTAGGAAACAAATCTAATTTGATCTCAGATTTGATCGGTGGACTTTTCTAGTAATAAGGAGTCTTTTTAGAAGTTTTAATATTTTAGGAATTCTTTTACTATTTTGGTAGAGTTTGAGTCCTTATAGGAGTCTTGTTTTTTTTTCTATTTAAGAAGAGTCTTGTAAGCCCTAGAGGCATAACTTTTAATTAATAAAATTTTATTTTTCTTTAATATTTACTTAGTGGATTCGAAGCTCTTCGTGGATTCGAAGATTGTCCTTGGTGGATTCCGAGGTTACAACTTCCACGCTGCATCAGGGGGGGCAAATATATATATGTATGACGATGAAAGTAATATATTATGAAACTAATTATAAAAGCGTATGTATAGTGTTTGCATTGACTACAAAAAAAATCTCAATGAAAACATTAATTCTAAAATTGTGCACGACACTCCTTAATAGAAACAAAATCATTAAGTAGTGAATCTAAATCAAAGGTCTTCGTAATATCTTTCTCAATAAAAATAAGCAAAATATCAACAAAAAATTCATCACACATCCGATTACGCAATCTAGTCTTCACAAGCTTCATAGCCAAAAATGCTCATAAGGTAGTTGTGGTAGAAACTGAAAGAGTCAATATCAAGCGAATTAATCTATCAACAAGAGGATAAGCCATGGATTTCTTCGTCTCTGTTAAACCCTGACATAGTTCCGGAATAGATGACAATCCCTCCAATTCTGGGTGTTTCGATACATAAATATAGAAGTGTTGAAACTGAAATCTCAAAGTAATCCTCTCATGCTCTGTAAAGTCACGATGGATAGTACTTTTCAACAATAGTAGAAATATCCTCAATATCAAAAGATTAGTACCCATCTTTCGAACTCAAAGCAGCACTATGTTTCAAAAGCTCGATCATTCGTTTGTTGAACCTTGTATTTAGCTCTTGCAATTGAAATTCAATAGTGGCGTTAAATATATCAAAGTGGTAATGATGTTTAGCGGTGATACGATCTAGTCTGCGACGACTGCGACCTTCAAAATATGGATTATCCAAATCTTGAATAACAATTTCATGATTGGAGCAAAAAGTCATCACATTCTCAAGGAAAGAATCTCACACATCATCCCTCAAGGCTTGAATAAGTGACATTGTACTTGACACTAAACGCATTGCATTCAAGATATCTCGAGATTTTTGTTGCAAAGTTTGGCAAAGAACATTAGTAATGCCCACGATTTCTTTCATCAGATGAGAAACAAAAATAAATTCGAATAATCTAATCTTTTTTAAAGATGCCCTGACATCTCCTTTTGTTTTATAGTGAGCACCATCATTTTTGATATTTTCAAGAATAACATAAGTTGCATTGTACATCCTGAGAATGTAGCACACTAAAGAAAAGTGAGAGCTCTAATGCGTATCACCCGCTCGTTTTAAATTTGATTAGTTGCTTCTTTTGGAAGTATTTAGAGTCAAATATGATATAATTAAATAAAAATTAATTATATGATTTAGAATGACAGGTAGCTAGCTTTCTTGCGTAAGGGAGCCAACATTTTGTCTTTCCTATGTAAACAAAAGTAAAGGGGAAAACATAGAGGAGAGGGCCCTAGACTCATTCCTCATACAAAGTAAACGGTGTGGGTCAAATTATTCTTTAGGTCCCCTATCAAAGAGTCAAATCCCCCACAAATGAAAGGAAATAACGGACTTAATTATAGTAAGCACAATAAATAATATTAGCAAACAAGAAGTAAGTTGCTTAATAAGGTTATGGATAATAATTAAAAAAAAAGAGCCATGAGGTATCAAGTTAAAGCTTTTTTTAATATATATAATAAGAATAGAGGATGATGCTTGTTTACTCCAAGGAAATATGAAACAAGAAAGACAACAATACATGAACTTAAGTTTTGAGACTATTTGCTCAAATCAAAGTGTTTTGTCTTAGTTTGGTCCACCTGGGCTTTGACATGGGGAGATTGCATTTTTTGCTTTGGGTAAATTTAGCAACATTATAATGAACTATATGAGATTATGCACAAAAATAACATAAATTATTTTTATTAGAGAAAAATATCATAACTTTTATTCAGCAAAAAAATATTGTTTACAATCAAAAAGTTACCTATGCGCATAAATATTAACAACTTTTCATTATGTTTATAAAATTACCATTTAATTTGAGATAAAGTAAATGGATACAACGAGCTTAAATTATTGTCAGATAAAAGCATTATTATGAAGCTACTATATATGTAATGTTTCATGGTATCATCATCATCTTCTTCTTCTTCTTCTTCTTTTTAAGGTTATGATATTAATTTTTAATAACAATAATTCATGATAATATTGTATAAAATCAATGTAGTGAATGGTAAGTTTGGCTTTACATTAGCCTAGTCAGCTGATGGTATGTCGCAATGATCTTGATAAGTATATTCCTAGTGTTAATATATGGCAACAAGGACAAGCTGAAGAAAGTTAGAACAATAATTATAAAACTAACTTTGATTGCTATTCAATCGAAAAAATCCATCTCCAATTATTAAATGGTCTGAATGGAGTAACAACATGGTTATAACAAGAGGCTTGAGCTAGGCTATTTTTAGTAATATTCAACATTAGATACTATCAACTCAATTTTAAAAATTAGAACCAAAAAATGAAAATCCGAGCCATTGAATATGATCTATTATATATTAACTATTTATAAATAAAATTTCAAAAGACTTCAACACGTTTTGTTCATATATCAAGACGTGAAAAACTAAGCAACTTTATGAAAATTCTAAAACGTTAATTTTGACGACATATTATGCATGCGTTAATGATATTGAAATCCATTAAAATTTTATTTCTAGATAGTTCATGTTGAAAGAGGCAAAAAATCATATGAAAAAATAGCTACAAGAAACACTCTGGTTGGTCGACTGATGGGTGTGATCAGTCGACCGATAGCATGCACGCAGGAACTGTAAAAATTGTCGCACTGGACAGTCGACTGATGAGCCTTCATCAGTCGACCGATGAACATCTACCGGTCGACTGATGAGGCTTCATCAGTCGACCGATAGCGGGTTATTGGGTCGAACTGTTCCTAGCCTGTTTTGGATTTGAGTGTTTATATAAATAGAAACATGTTTGTTAGGGTTTTTTAATCAAAGAAAAGAGGTTGTTTTGTGCACTTTGAGAGGGAGATTATTGAGAGGTAGTGAGATCTTGTTGGTTAGGGCTATTGTGAGTGTTTGAAAGTTATAACCCATTGTGTTTCTCCTCCATATAGTGAAATCTCTTCATCCTCTCCCCATGGACGTAGGCAACTTGCCAAACCACGTAAATCTCTATATTTGTGATTGGTTTTGGTCGTTTCATTGTGAATTGTGCTCGTGGTGTTCTTTTTTGTTGTTTACCGAATTGTTATGGATTGAGTCCGCTTCCGCTGGACAACAACTGTTAGTACCCTTGTTTTGATGATGATTTACAAACAATCTCTAACATCGTTTGTCTAGTGTTTGTATTTATTTATTAGGTATTATAGACAAACATCGATGTGGGATGTTGGTTGGATTGCGCCTACACGATCATATCCATTGGAGGATGAAAGGAATATTAGAATGAAGCAATTCGCAATTCAAGTCAAAGATTCAAGATCAAGTCATACGCAACCAAGACGAGCATATTGAAGATCTTTCATCTTGGGTATATTAGTTTAGGTGTTTATAATTGTGTTAATACTTCAAGTTCAATTATACACACACACGCGCGCGCGCGCACACACACACACACGTATTTATTGATTTTATCAAAATATAGGTGTTTTTATAAAAATATTATGTTATTGGTTTATGGACAATCTAATCATTATATACATCCTTTATTAAGTCTTTAAATCAATATTAAAAGGTTTCATAACTTGGTTTAAGTCAAAAGTAAAAAAAATTAAGTGTTTAGTGTTTTTGCAAAATGATGAGTTTTCACAATTGGGAGATGCAATTTGAAAATTTCTTTTTGTAACATATTGATTTTC